TTTTTTTTTTTTGTTGGGTGGTGGGGAGAGGTTTTTGCTATAGGGCACGTGCGCTCACCAGAAAGACAGAGAGAGACACAGAGAGACAGAAAGTGAGAAATCACCCCCCAGGGGGAATGGCCATGCTGCAATCCCTTCTCCTCCCTTCTCCTTCGGGATCTTGGGCACGCACGCACACACGCTCGGCGTGAGTTTAAGCCACCGGGTCCAGGACTTGAACTGTGGTCGGCTACACGGGAGTTCAGCAACATAGCCATTTCGCTAACTGCTGGTCCCCAAAGTACTTTCTTTAACATACTTAATGAATAATGCTGATTGTTTAGAGACCAAGTATGATAAACAAAGTATATGAAATTACAAGTATAAATCTTTTTTAAAAGAAAGCACATTTCAGTGATATGAGGTCAGCATTAACACCCCTAACTCAAAATCTCCACCACTAATTAAGATATTAATTATGCCAGGCACTTTGTATGATTTAATTATGAGTATGTATTGCAGTATTATTAGTGACTTGACTTTACAAATGAGAAAAATACAGTTCAGACATGTTAGGAAAACAGTTTTCTGTTGCTTTGTTTATTTTTTAGGATTTTGCCATATGGCTCGTGTGCTTGCAGGAGAGACTGAGAGAAGAAAATTGAGAAATCACCTCCTAAGGAGATGACCACACCTCAATCCCTTTTCTTTCATTTTCCTCTTGGGATTTTGGGCACGCACGCACATACACCCAGCATGATTTTCAAGCCGCCAAGTCTGGGATTTGAACTATGGTCAGCCATGTTGGAATCCAGCACTTTAACCACTATGTCACCTTTTGGCCTTAAATGTAGTTTCTGAAAAAAAAAGTTGGGGCCAGGAAGGTGGCACAGTGGTTAAGGCGCTGGATTTCCATGTGGCTGACTGTGGTATGAGCCCTGGACCTGGTGGCTTGCTTTCTCACTTTCTCTCTCTCTGTCTTTCTGGAGCACATGTACCCTATAGCAAAACTTACATATGTAAAATAAATAAATAAATGATTTTTTTTCAAAGAAGAAGAAGAAAGGGAAAAGTCTTCCTCTTTCTCAATTCACATACACACACACACACACACACACACACACACGCAAACATACACACAGTGCTTGCAGCAGGGTTATGGCTAACTCATCTTGGTATCTTTAATAAACTAACTGACCTGTAAATATTGCTCGAATGAATCTTTTAAAGCTGTACCATCTAATAAATTTCAAACTTGAGTACACAAGAAATTTTAATAGTCTTTGCTTCTCCATGACTACACAGATCTGCGCGTGTTAAAACCCTGACATTAAGTTAAATGACTAGACAGTTTAACAGACGGCCATGTCCCCGTGAAACCTTTGCTCACCCGCATCGTGAAGCGCAGTCCTGCCCTGCAGGTCTACGTGCTCGGTGGGGCAATTGTACTGTCAAAACAGAGAAAATCAGCACCTTATGAGACATGATTTGCAAACTGAATATCCGGACTCAAATGCACAGTTGTTATTTAATCTGAAAATATTCCATTCACCAACGAAATGAGTGACTGCTAGACGATGCACTAAATATTGTGACATGAGACAAATGCAGTAACGCTACAGAACTGTAAATTAGCAGCACTGTCACCCACAGGAAACACATGGCACATTACAATAGCTTGGAATACAGAAGACGCTACAGAACTGTAAATTAGCAGCACTGTCGCACACAGGAAACACATGGCACACTACAATAGCTTGGAATACAGAAAACAGGTTACTGTTGGGTCTTTATTCCAGAGAAAAAAAAAACCCGAACCGCTGAAACAAAAAAAAAAAAAAAAAAAAAAAAAGGAGTCCTGCTATGAAACTAACAGTAAACATTTCTGGGAATGTGTGACTGTGCCCTTTGACCAAAACCTTCACTCTGTCAACCAGATCAGAGTTGTGTGTGCGCCTGGTGAAAGTGTGACCACGGTCTCAACACCAGGTGGGCTAAGTTACCTAAGCTCGCAGAGAAATACAGAGCTCTATGTTGTTGGCTTTATCTAAGTCATACTCTAGACAGCCGAAGGGAGACGGCAGATTCCAGTTGGGCCACCGTCAACAGGAAGGCCGAGCCTTTGTTGTTTATTTTAATTCACTGAGCTATGCCACGCACTTCCCTCTGCGTTTCTGCTCTGTACTGTTCGCATTCCTTCGTCAATGGTGGAGGCGAGGCTCACAAAGTGGGTCTACCCCATCTTTCATCTCAAGTTCCAAACACATTAAAATCACGGCTGTTACTTGCAGCCCCGGGAGTAGAGCTTCCGTATTAACCGCGTGCACTACCTGCAGGAGCTTCTGTAGGCACAGCGCGTGTCCGTACTTGGCAGCCAGGTGGAGGGCATTTCTCCCTACAACAGAAGTCATTTAAGATACAGATGAAGAGCTGCTTTCTCCACACATACATGTTCATAGAGATATGATTCTTCTCCCAAATTCATTAACGGAACACTTGATTTCCAAATTAATTTGTGCTTTCAGTTTCTATGATATCTCAGCTGTTTTGATTTTTTTTGGGGGGGGTTTGCCGTAGGGTGCATGTGCTCACCGGAGAGAGACAGAGAGAGGGAAAGTGAGAAATCACTCCCCATGGGGGATGGCTATGCCCATTCCCTTCTCCTCCCTTCTCCTCCTGGGATTTTGGGCACACACGCACATGCACCTAGCGTGATCTGCCAACTGCAGTCAGTTGTGTGGGAGTCCAGAGCCTTAACCACCATGCCACCAACTCATCTCCTATTTTGATATTTTAATAAGAAATAACATACACACCAGAACAGCTAATCATGTAAGTCCACACAAAATTCGTTAGGAGAAGGTATCTGAAAACCAGACTTGTTTCAATGTACTGTGCGTTAAAATGTGCATTTTTAAAGGAAGTATCAAAAGGAGGTAGGAGGGAAAGTGACTTAGCAGATCCCCTGAAAGGTACTCTGACTCCCGGGAAAGGCAAATGTTCAAAGGACGTCCTATCTCCAAACTCTTTCCCCACTGTGTCTCTTTACACATGGGTGACCCTCACTATCCGGTCCGTCTGCTACTAAGTGCATTGAGGGGAGGAGGGAAAAAGCAGCTACCTGCGCCACAAGGCCAAAGTGTCCAAGCAGATAAAACACAGACAAAAACAAGAAAGATACCTGCTGAGACCAGGACCAGCACAACCAATAAATGAAGCGGTGACGTTCTGAAGAGCTATGGTCAGTCCAGACCTTCTAACGTAAATGTCCCTCCACGTTGATGGAAAGCGTACCCAATCACGCACCACGTAACCAATTTCAGTCGGCACAGGCTGCACACATGACGTTGAGTGACAGGTCACACCACGTGGCCTAGGCGCCGTGGGCTACACACACCACCTGGGATTCTGTGGTGTGCTCTGTGACGCTTGCAAGGTCACATGTCTCCCAGGGCATCTTTACTGCCACGTGAGGCATGGCTGAGTAAGCGACAAACGCGTTTCTTTCTTCATTGGAAGGCAGCAGATGAGTGAATGTGGGCCTCTTTTAGAATTTCAGGGATCTTCAAGGATTCTCCTTACTAACTCAAGCACGATCCTTCCGACTCCGTCTCCCTCTCCCTCCCTTCCATTTCTGAACACAATGCTGGCAGAAAGTGCTGTCTTTCTTTGCTCATTCATGGAGTCATAGGAAAAAACACAGCTGTTAAGAAAACTCTCTGTTCTAGGTCAATTTCTATATTTATTCAAAAGTTGAATAGTGAGGTAGAAATGCAGAGAACTAATCTGTCAAGAATCCCAAAGAACTGACAATGGTTACCCTGACAAACAAACAAACAAAAAAAACCTATCACTCTTGGGGCCAGCAGGTGATGTGGTGGTTAAGGTACTGGACTGCCACATGGCTGACAACAGTTCAAGTCCTGGACCTGGCAACTTGAAATAAACGCTCGGCACCCCTTGGGGGTGATTTCTCACTTTCCCTCTCACTGTCTCTCCATCTTTATCCAGCCCTATGGCAAAAATCTTATTAAACAAACAAAAACCACATGCTCATTAAAGAAAAGCAATAGCTATATTGAAGTACTGCTTGAAGGTTTACCTTTGATATGCAAAGTTATGCTATAAGATTTTAAAGGAGAGAAATAACTACAGCTACTTGTAAGCAGAAGTGCAAGTAAGAGCTAGATTCTGGAGATCTAGCCAGGACAAGTCGTCACCAGCCATCTCCATCTGAGTTCTGAGCTGCCCCTTTCAGGGACTAGGACAACTGAAGATGTTTCTGCCCAGATTTCACCCTCCTGTCCCCCAGATCTAGCCAGGTGGAGCGCGTCAAAGGAGAGAAATAACTACAGCTACTTGTAAGCAGAAGTGCAAGTAAGAGCTAGATTCTGGAGATCTAGCCAGGACAAGTCGTCACCAGCCATCTCCATCTGAGTTCTGAGCTGCCCCTTTCAGGGACTAGGACAACTGAAGATGTTTCTGCCCAGATTTCACCCTCCTGTCCCCCAGATCTAGCCAGGTGGAGTGCGTCTTTATTCTCTCTGTCTCTCTCCATCTCTCTCTCTTTACAACTTCTTAGCCCCCCGGCTGCTTTACCTTGCTAATTATTACCTCCCCTCCCAAATGGGCCAGGCCAACCACCTATCTCCATCTGAGTTCTGAGCGGCTCCTTTCGTGCGGCGCAGTTTTCATTTTTTGCTTTAAAAGACATTGTTTTTCTCTTTTTTATTGTTATCGTCTTGTTTTTTCTTTGTTTACTTTTCCTTTTCCTTTCCCACTTATCCGCTCAGTCTCCACACATTGAGTTTCTAGACAGGTCTAGGTGAACAGTAGCCAAATATCTGAATACGTTGAGGGTCAGAGTAATCCTCAATTCCCATGGAATCTGCTGCACAGAGGGAGAAAAACGGAACTGCAGAGAGATTGCAGGTCACCTCCTCCTGCATGCCTCTGACTGCTCAGATTTAACTCGGAAAATGAGGAAAAATGTATAATCCATCAGATGACCAGGAACCACCACACAGGCACAAGAAATATGAACAGCCAGGAAAATCTCTCTCCCCTAAGGTAAAAGAATAGCTCCTCATCCTCCACAGACACTACAAGGGAACTTGTGGGAATGTCAGATAAAGAATTTAGAACATTCCTAGTGACAAAGCTAACAGAGATGCAAGAGAAGAGAGACAACAAACTCCAGAAGATAAAGGAGAAAAGAGACACCGAGTTCCAGGAGGTGAGGAAGTTCCTGCATTATCTGAAAGAGGAAATACACACCACAGTATACAATCAAATTAAGTTGTTAGAGATGAAGGCTGTAATATGGGAAATCAAACTTCTTTTCAGTATTAAAAGCAGATTACATTGTGCAGAAGATCGAATCTTAGGTGGAGAAGAAAGACTCTCTGACCTAGAAACATTCACCAAGACGACTGAGAAAATAACCCCCAAAAATGAGAATATACAAGTTAATACTAGATATCATTAAATGCCCAAATATCCAGATAATCAGTATCCCAGAAAGTAAAGAAACTAATAAGGGTACTGATAAGCTATTCCATGAAATCCTGGAAGAAAACTTTCCAAACCTAGAGAGGCACTCAAATATCCAGACCCCAGAAATACAAAGGACTCCACATAGAATCAACCCAAGAAGAATCAACCCAAGAAGATCTTCCCCAAGGCACATCATGGCCAAACTGACCAAAACGACAGACAGAGACAACATACTAAAATTGGCAAGAGAGAAATGTCAAGTTTACTTTCAAAGGATATTCCATCAGGCTAACAGCAGATCCCTCATTGGAAACAATGCAAACAAGGAAAGAATGGGAAAACACATTCAAAGTGTTAAGCGAAAAACAATTTCAACATTCTGGCAAGATTATCCTTCACATGGGAAGAAAGGACAAAAACATTTTCAGATAAACAAAACCTGAAAGAATTTACCAACACCAGACCAGCTCTCCAAGACGTTTTGAAGGGAGTGCTATATCAGGAAAACTAAAGTAGACACACAGAAATAAGAGTGCAAAAAGTCACCAAGAGAATGGCCAACCTAATGGTAGGGATAAGTCTCAAAGATCAAAAATAGCGTTGAATGTTAACTTCTAGAATTTCAACGGAAAGATGAGACCACAGTAACACCGCAAACTGAATAGAAGAGGGATTAATTATAGGAGACTGAACTGGTGAAATAGAATTTTATGACTTTTGTCTAAAACATTACTGATTTTCTTCTATGCTTTGTTTTCCAGATTTAAGGATTTTTGTCTCCTCTTGAACTGTTGATAGGTTCATCTACCTACTGTTTGTACTGAAGCCTAACCTTTTTCCTGGCTTTAATTCTTAAGCAACTTTCTCTTAACACTTTTTGATTTTGATCTATTAAAACTAAATTTGCTTTTCTTGAAATTAAAAATGCATTCAAAAATACTTAATGACTGCAGTAAGTTATATAGCCCCAGCTAGGTGCTACTTTATACTATGTTCATTCTGCTCACTGAGGTTTATGCCTACAGTCAGACATGTGTTCCTAGGCATGTATCTATCACCTGAGCTTGCTATTGAAAGTATTTAGATTAATTAAGATCTTTAGTGACTCAATAAAATGTGGGGGAAAAAAAGGAATGGGAAGTAACTGTAGATACCAGAGACCGTGTGGGAGGAGGGTGGGAAATGGCAGAGGGTGAGCGGTAGGGAATCAAGGAGGATTAAAAAAAAAAAAAAGAAGAAGCAAAATATTTAAGAAACAAGAAATGGAAAATTATTTGTTGGCGATAACAAGTACGGTAATATCCTTGATTGAGCCAACAGACAGTGTACTCTAGATGGAAAAATCCCTTTTGTATACTGTAATGATGTACAATGAATCAATGTAAATAAATTTAAAATGTAAACTTTTTTTTAAAAAATAGATTTTTACTGTCTGTGAGAAACATAGCTAACCACAGAGGGTCCCTGTGAGGCAGAAGGTAAAGACCGCAGCCTCTGACCACGATGTATCTTCCAAAGGGCTTGGGCAATTCCCTCACAGTCCACTGCTGGGGTTGATGTGAGCATAGGAGTTCATGTGCAAACGCTGCTCCACAGAGCAGCCTCCACATACAAGAACTGTATGTACATGTCAGCTATTCTTGCTGCTCTTAGGGAGGTCATTCTGTCTCCGTCACAAGAAACATCTACCAAATGCCAAAAGATCACTGCTAGTGGAGTCATGAGAGAATTTCAAAAAGCTCATGGAAAAAAAAAATTTAAGGTAGTGCAAAGACTTTTGACATTCATCTTTCAAAAAAATGTTTCAAGGAACCAGCAGTTAGCGTAATGGCTATGTCGCTGGACTCCCATGTAGTCGACCGTGGTTTGCGTCCCGGACCCGGTGGCTTAAAATTCACG